AGATTTTTTAAGATAAAACGAGTTCATTGGTATTTTTCACTCCACTAGCACTGTTACTTTTTTTAAATACTCATATCTATCTAAAGTGGGAAAGCAAAAGGAGATAAAACACGATAACATTTTTTTGAAAAAAATGAGAGTGAGCTCATTCCTTTATGGAAATGAAGAACAATCTCTTGTCTTTAATATGCAAGCAATGCACATGGATGTCCTGCACCCAACATCACTTCAGTAATTTATGTTACTTCTCTGGCCCCCAAGACCATTTGAGTTTGCAACAACTGGAATGCTTTTTTCTATCTTATTTATTTTACATTTGGAACACTTAGCTCATCGAAAATGTTTTAAAATTTCTCTAAGTGACGAAAGCATAAATCCAAGAGCAATTTTGTCACTTTTATAAGCCCAGAAAATACCAAACTAATTTCCTCATAATGATCCTGCCATCAGTTAAATGCATAAACTATTAAGTTATATATAAAGAACAGTCCCATAGTTAGGAGTCTACTAATGTGCTGATTATTTACAGACATAATTGGATTGATGGACCTGAGTTGTGACACCATAAACACCAAGTATCCAGAATGTATGTATAACTATGACACCTCATTCAGCCTCTATTGATGTTTTTTTCAAACTATGATTTGGGGAGACTCAGTAGTAGACCATTGTATATGCCCATGGTACATGTGGATGGCAGGGTCAACTTATATGGGCATATCTATCCCTACGAGGCACGATTGACAAAGAAAGGGAAGGAAGTGAATGATCTCCCCTGGAGTTATGCAGACAGGGGTCCTGAGTGTGGCCAAGCTTATTCAGCTTAGGACCCCTCTCTTCCGAGGTTGTGATACCCTCACTTTTGCATCAGTCATAAGATCTTTCCTTTTTAATCTGTTTTTCATTTTAAGCTTCAGATAAACTTTGAGGAAATGTTTGATAGCAAAATATAAATCTGAAAACTGCTACATGAGAGATATTTTTAAGATAAAGTGATTTTTTTCATATTACTAAATAGCTTTTCCTTGAAGGTGCCACAATTAACCAACAGGAAAACTTACCCAAAGTCTTTTCTTAAAATCTCTGTAAACATATTTCCTTCCAATCATTTTTCATCTTTAAAACACGTATATATACACATATTTGTGATTTGTTTTATAAATTTATGATAACACTTAACAATTTTGCATTTTGACTCGTTCATGTCTTATGAGCATTTTCTGTGTTCAGTGGTTGGAATCATGACTTTTAATGCTTATATATTACTAAATCATATTGTTGAACCAGGATTTATTTAAACAAAACTCTATTATTTGGCATGTAGCTTTGACATGTTTTTCTTTTATCTACCAAACATAATGTATTGTGGTTAATTTTCGTTTTAGTCCTAACACTTTCTTTGGTAAATTCCTGGGATCATAATAATTCCTGGGATCATAATCAGAAGAACAAAAGTCATTACTTATCTTTATGACTATCAGGTGGAAATAAGTACTACGAAGTAAATGATAGCAGGATCGGGAGAGCAGAGGGAACTTGGTGTATTAAAAAGGTTGTTAGGCAAGAGCTCTCTGAAGAGAGAACATTTGATCTGAGATCTAAATGAAAAGTGGGACTGAGTCATTGGGAACAGCTGTGGGAGAGGCCTCTGGGCAGAAGACTCAGCAGTTGTTAAGGCACTGAGGTTGGAACTCAGTTTGAGCTTTCTAGGACAGGAAGGAGTCGATAGGGCTGGAATGAAGTGAGCAGAAGTTGTCTTGAGGATCAGAGGTGGAGAATTGATTAGGGAGCTAGACTTCAGAAAGACTTTATTAGACTTGGTAAGTATTTGTGATTTTATTCTAAGTGGGAATTGAGCCATTGATGGATTTCAAGCTAGAAAATGACATGATCTCATCTCTTTGTGGAGAATCAACTGTGGAGGCAACAATAGAAGCAGCAGACAGCCCTGTTCCTTAAGAGGCTATTGCTGACATCCCAAAAGAGAAAAAAAGTTAGAGCAGTGATAGAGGAAATGTCTCATTCTCTGCCCTTTTGGCAAGAATCAAGCCAATCGCAAAAAATGAAAACTACATGTATATGTGCGTCTGTGTGTGTAATTCTTATCTTTGTATTTTGATAGGAAAAAAATTTCACATTGTTTAATTATTGGTAGTGTAGAATATTCAATTGTTTAATTGCCATGGTTTTTTTTTCCTTTAATAAATCGTGGACTTATCTTTATGCCATGTTACCTAGGATAGGATTTTATCAACTTATATGAGGTGATATATATATTATGGTTTTTAAACTCTTCAGATTATTGTTCCTCAGATTATCATAATATTAACCTTTTATCTATCAAATTTGTGGCAAATATTTTCCTAGTTCGTTGGTCACTTAGTCATGTGTATGATTTATTTTTATATCAGTTTTTAATTTGAAGCCAAACCTCTACTTGATGATTGTGGCTTTAATTTCCTCTGGGCCAAGCTTTGTTAGGAAAGCTTTCTTTGATTTCCAGGTGCTAGGACTTATTGATTTCGCCAGGGACACTGCCCTAGGACTCTTTCTGGTCAGTTAACTCACCAGGCATAATTTACTTATGGACCAGGCCAGATTTTCTTAACTTCCTGACCAGCTGTTTTTGGAGGAAGTGTATAAGGGAAAATGACTGAGGTGAGGACGTGCAGGAACAACTTTTTGGTGCTACAAATGGCAAGAATAGAGAATTAACAATCGGAAAAACAGGCAATTTACTCTGAATTTCTGAGCCAGGAGGAGAGTGGGAAGGAACAAACCTCTCCAGACCTACTTTTAGCAGACCAATTTGTTCTTTCCAGTGACATAGCAGTGATGGTGATTTTAAAAATCCAATCATATTGGCTTTACAGTAAGTGTTTCATCCCAGATATTGGTTGACAGTATTACTCCCAGCTTTTATTTTTGGGGGACGATGTGCGTTTACTCATTTATTTTTATTGTACCTATAAAATATAAAATCCATGAAGGAAGAAACTATGCTGGTTTTGTTTATCTCACTTTACCCAACTCTCAGGACAAGCTGACATTCAATAAATATTGGAATATTCATTTGTCAGATGACTAAATGAACAACTGTGAAATATGCACCGTTAGTGGAGAATGGAGGACATTTTGTCACAGACCGGTGGTCAGATGTAATTTAAAATTGGTTGCACTGTCCTGCTTTATTAAAACAGATCAGTGCTTTTGGGCTCTGACTCATTAGCAGTCCCGCACCTCCAGGCGGGAACATTTTGATGCCAGCAGGAGCTGCTGGGGTTGGTAGCCATCTTGCTTCATTACTTTATGGCCCTGTGTCATGTTGCTTTTTCAGTTCTTGATGTTTTAAGGCAGATCTCAGATCTCTTTTTTCGGCTATTTGGTATCATTTTCTTTTCTAAAATTGACATTTTCTAGGGTAGATACAGGATGGTGATGATTTTTGGTACTCAAAACTCATTGATGGGGTGGTACTTGAGATAAATATCATTATAGGGGATCATTACAGGTTTTCTTCTGATAAGTAAATCCCTTTTTATAGAGACCAAGAATTCCTTGTTAACTAAAGGTATATAACAGATGCCACTTGTTTGTTGGTGATAAATTAGAATTCTTTAGATTTAAACATGAAACGAGGCATCTCATTCTAAAACCAAGTTTCAGTTATGCTTATAGTGGGCAGGGTATAATCAAAAGTCCCCTGGTGTATATGCTTCTGTGTGATGTCTTTTGGTGTAGTCACTGCCTTTGTAGTTTTTAAGTAACTATTAAACTACTGTGTTTAACATATGCTGATAACTAGAGCTAAATGGTTACTGTCAAATAAGTGATGTTTCTCGTGCTACCAAAATGGTGGGAGAGGATGGCAATGTTGTATAGATGTGGGAGCAGAGGACAAAATGAGGAAGGAACGCAGTTAGTTCAAGGGAAGACTGGTCTGCTTGATGAAATAGGAGAGCTAAGGGTGGTGCACCCTACCTGCGGGGAGGATCTAGGGAGCAGAAGGTTCTATCTGTATCTTCTTCAGGTGTCCAAGGAAGGAGAAGTTTGGATCAAAGATTAGGGTGAAAGTGGAAAGAAGAAAATAGGTTCTCCAGGAGCAAGCTAGAAAAATCAAATCAGATGAGACTGGCCCACACTCAGAGGATATGAGACATGAGTTCCTCCAGAAGAAAGAACGAGCCTTAAATGTGTCAGGCATCTACCCTGGCCTAAATGTCCATTAAATCATTGAAGGAAAAACTTATACCCAAAACTAGAGAAGATTGAAATTTGAACTGAATTTATCTATGATTGCCCAAATCTGTATTACATTAGCCTTTGTACATTATCACACCTTTATTAAAATTTTCTTTAAATGCAAAAGTATTGACTTGAAATCTTGTCTGACAGCGTAATATCCTCTCAAAGTACAAGTTCTGCACATGTGTTGATCTTCTGACTCCATTTTGCACTAGTTTTGAAACATCGTCAGAGTTGTAATAAAATGAAATATAATGAAATGACCTAATTGCAGTCACCTCTTTTCTCTCTTCCACTGCATTTTTAGAAAATGGGTCAAAGTCAATAGGATATTTATGTCCTTTTCCTGCTTCCACTTTATTAACTTGAGTTTTCATTTCCTGAATATACCAAATTTACTAAATAAAAGGGATGAGATATGAAATGAGGAAAAAAGCATTATTCTTGCTCTGTTAGGTGCATCTCTCTGCTACAAACCAAAATTACTCCCCTCCACTGCATTTTTAGAAAATGGGTCAAAGTCAATAGGATATTTATGTCCTTTTCCTGCTTCCACTTTATTAACTTGAGTTTTCATTTCCTGAATATACCAAATTTACTAAATAAAAGGGATGAGATATGAAATGAGGAAAAAAGCATTATTCTTGCTCTGTTAGGTGCATCTCTCTGCTATACACCAAAATTACTCCTTCAATTCCAAAACAGTTGTTTTGTTTTTAATGACTTATAAAGTTAATATTCCTTTCTTCTTATAGGTGGAATGGCTAAAAAACGAGGAGCCCATCGACTCTGAACAAGATGAGAACATTGACACCAGGGCTGATCATAACCTGATCATCAGGCAGGCGCGGCTCTCGGACTCAGGGAATTACACCTGCATGGCAGCCAACATCGTGGCCAAGAGAAGGAGCCTGTCAGCCACAGTGGTGGTTTACGGTAAGACCAGCCCAAAAGCCAGGAATGGATAGGGAGGATGGAAAGCAGAGAAGTAGATGTGCATTTTATTAAAATTTTAACTTTTAGAGCTGAAAGGTCTTTGGGGGTCATCCACTACAGTGCTCTGTCCTGTCACTCCCATTTGGCAGGTGAGAACACATTCCTGTTGCTATTAATGTTTACTCTCGCATCTGATGTTGGACTTCCATGAGATAGTGACGTTCCAATCTCTCTCTTTTAAAAACTAATTTTAAGAGCTGTTTATTTTCTTCTCTTGTGTTTATATTTGAAAAGAATCGAGGTGGGCAACTTCTGCTTCCTCACCCGCATTCTCCCCAGACTTTCTGTGGGCAGTTCCTCTCCTGGCATATGAAATCCACCAAAAAACAAACATTACTTATTTGCCGAATATCTCAGGTATAGTATAAAAGAAACCCCCAGCTATTTAAGTAAAGGCATTCCCTTCCACAGTACAAGAGCCCTGGGGATTTATTTTTGAAGCACTTAAAGTAATAGAAATTCAAATGCTGATATTTTCTTCTTATACTCTACATTTTCAAGTGCTTTAGAGATATGTTGATGAGTTCTATTTTTCATAATTTTCCTGCAAAGAAAATCATCTGTGTGTCTCCTTATATCAGATGAGTAGACGGAGGGACAGGGATGAAGCCCCACTGTTGCCTCAAGATGGAGCAGCCAGTGTGGGTCTGCAGAGTTTGTTGGTCCCTGGATGCCCAACTCGCAACACCTGGCACAGTGGCTCGCACATAGTAGGCAATCAGTAAAAACCTTTCTCCTTTTTTTCTCCCCTCCCCATTTTTCTCTCTCAGTGAATGGAGGCTGGTCTTCCTGGACAGAGTGGTCAGCCTGCAATGTTCGCTGTGGTAGAGGATGGCAGAAACGTTCCCGGACCTGCACCAACCCAGCTCCTCTCAATGGTGGGGCCTTTTGTGAGGGAATGTCAGTGCAGAAAATTACCTGCACTTCTCTTTGTCCTGGTGAGATATATGTAGATTCCCTTTTCCTTCTGATCCACCAACACTATTAAGCTGGTGTGAAGCATTCAATATAAACTTCTCAAAGTTACCCCTCACCCAAGTTCTTAGAATAGAGCCTTTGTCCAAAATGCTAATGTAGAAGTCAGTACCTCTGGGTGAAATGCCTCTGTTTAGGGGCATACATATGTGTGTATATCTTTAAATATATACGTGTATATATACATATATTCAGATGACCCTGGACACTCACCATCAATAAGCCAAATGCTTTGAAGTATTTTTATACCACCTGTGTTTAGTTGGGCTAAGCCATCCCCTTCTCTCCTTGGGTTCTCCCATTTTGTGGCGTTTATGTGTATAATTGCAGGGATTAAGTGAGTTGTCTGTAAGGAAAACAGGTACCAAAAATCTGACCCTTTATCATCAGTTACCAATCAACTAACTTTGAGTTTTAGCTTTGTATTTACGATACAATTGGCAGAGATTGTATAGTATCACAGCAGTTTTAGATTTGATGTATGCTTGTCTTCCTTTCCGAACAGAGATTTCATTTGCCAAATGTTGCTTTTATAAGTTCTTTTGTTCATCACTTACTGGCTTTAACTGAATTTATACAATGAGAAATAGATGAGCTGGAAGATGGCTTTATGGAATGCATATCCTCCCACTGAGAAATAAGTTGATCTTGGGTCACACATGCTTATAAAACATTAACTCCAAAGACCCTGGACTAGAGCCTTGTGTCTAAAATTTCAAATCTAGTTCCACTCAAAGCTAAAGTGAGTCTCTCATCACAGGATATTCTTGGAGTTTCATTTTGAACTCATATTTTATTGAGTGCTTACTATGTGCCAGGTACTATGCAAGATACTTTTACACATGCAACGTCATTGAACTCTGTGTTGTGAGTTTTATTCTCCTCCATTGGCAGAAATAATAAAAGGCTAAGTGACTTTCTCAAGGTTACTTGGCCAATAAATTGACAGAAGCAAGACAAGGACTCAGACATTTTGCTTCAAGTTCAGTAATTTGTATTACCCTAGTCCTCACTAATTGCTCTAGATTAAAATTTTCAATATCTTAACCCACATTAGCATGGTTGGACTATTCCTAGGAGGTTATGGGACAATTGCCTCAAACAGCTGCCATAATCTCTAGGGTTGATTTTCAGTGGAATTAAATTCAGTCTGTTCATTTCTACATACAGCAGCAATCCATGACCCAAGAAATTCTTTTTATGTAAGTCCTGGTATCTTGGGGTTTGACCTGTTTTAGTTTAATACTATCAATATATATGGGTTTAACTTTTTATTGTTCAGGGCCTTTTAGAGCTTACAGATAGTTCATTCTGCTCTCTGTCAACACACAAGGAAGTGACACAGTAACCATTGGTTACTGCACATAGTTACCTGTCCATCTGAGATGTACTTGGGCATGAAAGACTGGGAAAGAATGGATAATAGCATTATTAGCCAACCCAAGGGCACTGGTAATTTGAATGCTTGCCTAAATTCAGTAATTGGTCTCATCCTGAGAATTACTCCACTGCTTTTGCTAGCGTATCTCTTTAGGAAAGAAACCATGGAGAGAAGATAAACGAATATATTTTGTTTTTGTTGTGGTGGTTATTTCTTTGAAACTCATCTTTAAGAACAGCAGCAGTCCTGGGGTGAGTCTCCTGACAGCTGCCTGATTCATTCTAATGATGGTTCCTTTTGCTTTCCTTTGAAGTGGATGGGAGCTGGGAAGTGTGGAGTGAATGGTCAGTCTGCAGTCCAGAGTGCGAGCATTTGCGGATCCGGGAGTGCACAGCACCGCCCCCAAGAAATGGGGGCAAATTCTGTGAAGGTCTAAGCCAGGAATCCGAAAACTGCACAGATGGTCTCTGCATTCTAGGTAACACCTTCTGTTTAACATCTTCAGTGTTTGTCCATAATATGAAAACATCATAATCCTAATTTGGTTAAATAAGTTAGCAGAAAGCAAAATCTCCGAGAACAAAAAGAAAATGAGTGAAAAGTGTAGAAAAATAAATGTGTTTTTTTAGTTGAGATGGGATAATTTTAAATATGTTATCATGGTAAGTTTCATAAATGTGTGCACTTACTAATTTCACCAGATAAGGTTTTAAGAGAAATGATTTAAGAAAATGTTTTCAATTTTTTAGCTTAGCAAGTTTTTTTTTTTTTTTTAGTAGCCACCATTTTTAAGTTTGATGAAATCGATACTGATCACCATGTTTAATAATCTTCAAGACCATGATTTTTTGGCAAGGGACATGTGTTATGACTGTATGGTAATTTGTACGGCAACGCAAATTGTGGGGGGTGGGGAGAGGATATGACACCTGAAGAGGTGGGTGGCTTTGTATCAAATTGGTTCAACAGAGCAAGAAATAGAATGTTCGTTTCAGAACTTGCAAGCCTTTACTTTATTCCTGAGATTACACTATTCCATCGCTGACTGCCTGCAAGAGTCACATAAAGACAGGTTTTAAATTGGTGCTGTCCCTTACTAGCTTTGTGTCACCCAAGACAAGTCACTTAACTGCTTACCTTCTCTGAGTGTAAGTACCCCAAGCAGTACCCATTTTTGGTTATTGTCAAGACTAAATGATAAAAGAATATACTTGAATATTTCCTAGCACAGAGTAGGTACTCAGTAAATATGAATCCTTTTTCTACTTGTGCACTCAGTTGAGCTAAGGTGTACTGAGTTTGCTTAGGTCCTTAAAAAACAAGATTCAAGATACAACAAAAAACAATATAGCTCAATAGTAGTTTGTCATTTTGCCAGGATATGTGTCACTTTTTATTTGGAAAGATGGCAGGATGAAGGAAATAGCTACGTTGAATTTATTTTCCTACATCAGTATGACTGGGTACCCTTGAAAGCAAGCATATTCAAACATGCTGTCCTATTTTTCAAAATAAGTCTACACGGTTAATACATTGGTTAAAGTGATTAATATGTTTAAATAACCCCTAATAGCACAGAGTACCTGCATGCGTCAGATACAATACACAGGTCTCATAGCCTCTAATAAAAACATTCCAACCATATGCCTTCACCCTTCCAAAATTTAAGGAAACCTAAACCACCCTGGACTGCAACTAGATTTTTCTGAACTATAACTTTGAAGTGTGACTGTTTTTTAACACAGCCATATTTTTTAATTGGTAAGTTAGGACTGCGACACTCCTAAGTCTTCTAAAGAGGCACTGACAACATAACTATTTGTTTACTATATTTTAAGTAATCGTAATAATAACATCTGTCAGTCACCGATTGGGCTTCTACTTGGGAAAAAAAAACCTATGCATGTCAGGCTTTGACCTTAGTCGATTAATACTTAGAGTTATTGCTGAAGACAAAAAATGATTAGCCCCTAAGGTAAGAATCGTTATCAAGTACAGGAATATTATTTGCATTCTATTATGCTAGATAGGCATTTGTCAGTTGAGTAAGAATTCTGTTTAGGGCTGAAAGGAATTACCAGCACTTAGAGTGTACTGGCAAAACTCTAAAGTTTGAAATGTTGTGTTTGTCAGGGTGCTCCAGAAAAACAGAACCAATTAGATACATATATAAGATAAAGGAGATTTATTATAAGGACTAGGCTCATGTGATTATGGAATTTGGCAAGTCCAAGGTTGGCAGGCTGCTGTAGAACCAGGAAGAGGTAATATCCCAGTCTGCTGACTTAAATGTTAGTCTCCTGTCAAAACACCTTCACAGAATAATGTTTGGCCAGATATCTAGACATCTCATCTGATAGCCCAGTCAAGTTGACATAAAATTAACCACCACAGATGCATATGTATTGGTGAAGATCCAAAACTTAGCTCCTTCCTTGGAGCTAGCCACAGCTGTAGTTCATTGGTTTACTGAATGAACCTTTCCTAGGGACATTGGTCATGTATGCTTTTAGTCACGCATGTTTAATGGATATTCCATTTTCTCAAAGTGGAGATGAAATAGCTAGAAAGACAATGAGGGTTGGAATATATTCAGCATTGGAGGTGAGCTCACTGTTAAATCCCCTCGATGAGTTTAAAATGCTGTGTGAGCCTTTTCTTTCTATTCAAGCATGGTTTTTCCAGCATCCTTTGTATTTGTAGTATACATATTAATGTCTGTCACATTTGATCAGGGAATCTTCATGGCTACAATGATTAAGTTTTTTGAGGAAAAAAGTGAAGAAGCCTATGAAATCATTGCGATGAATGAAACATATTTATATGTCAGTGAGAAAGGGGTATGTTTACAAGAGCCGAACACCAGGATATATTCTGCTCTTTTAGACAGAGAGTAGCTATGAATATTAACAACATTGAATAACATTTTACTATCTCTGCAGGAAGCAAGGAACAGCATTCTAGTTCAATGATGTCAATATCACTCTGCCCTTCTCCCTGGTACTTTGTTCAAGTGCTTTTGGTGAAACTAGCAGTGTGCTCAGGCTAGAGATCCAATGAAGGCTGGGTTTGATTAAAATAGCATCTGGCAACAGCTTTATGGAACAGTAGCTTTGTGAAGGATCTAGGTCATGTTACAATTTGGGAATTTCTTCTATGCCAAACAAGACCCTAAAGCAATTCCTCAATTCCCAACTTCTCTTGGAGGTTTAACAATGACATTGCTTGGCTCTTGGATGACCTACAATTCTTTGATTTTATTTAGCTTTCAACAAAGCATTTGGATTTCCTTTGTTGTCCCTAAGGAATGCATTTCTCCTGGAGCTTGAGCTGCCAGCTCTGAATGATCAGTGTAATATTTGGGTGTGATTGTTGCTTGGTCAGTTGTAACTGGAGCACACAACCTTAGTGTTAAGCTATCACAGATGGCCACATCTAAATGCTCTTAACAAGAAAATAAATGTCCCAAGACTGGTAAAAGATTAGGCAACTTTTGCCAATAGCAGTTAGTGCAAGCATAAGCTAAACCTCTAATGCCTTCACTCTAGAACATTTCTTTGCCAGAAAGATAATTATGCGGTGTGATTGTCAAGAAACAAAAACTCATGGGTCCATGTTTTCTAAGCTTAAACACCAGAATCAGGTAGTTTCTGGCCACTGCCCTTTCTACTCGCTGAATTTAACTGCTTTTATACTGAGGGTCACAGCCAGAGGTAAATAACATGTGCATACCTCATTGACAGGAATAGAAGGGTGAAAATAGCAGGATGTTTAATTTGATCCTAGGAATAAGAAAAGCCTGCTCCCTCTCCCTTTATTCTAGCAGACATAAAACTAAGGGCTTTGGCTTGAGAAGATTAAAGGGATCTGCTTCAGAGGGTATTAGTGCCAAGATGTGCAGCAAGACGCAAGCCAGAGAAATGCCACAGGGGCCTGAAAGAGGAAATCTTCAAGGCTGAGTTACCTGATATTTAATCCATCCATCCTGTCAAGATATAAGCTAGGTCAGTTCAACTCTGATATTTCAGTTTCTGAACTAGAGTTAAATGGTGGTTTGTTTTCATTTCTGATGGATACATTGTTAAGTTTGAATTAACAGTTTGGAAACCACATCAAGGATAAAGACATCTATACAATAGCAGATTCAAATAAATATCACCAAGCTACATTTATCAATCTAACCATATTGTCTATTGAGTGATCTCCTTAAATGACCTAAAGGAAGCACCTGAAAAGGTGAACTTGTCATTGCATCAAATTAAAGGTGCCTTGGTAAGCATTTTCTCTTGAACTTCACTGTTATTCATCACAGTAATTACCTGGGTCCCTTCCATCTTTCCTAAAGTACCAAATAAGACAGTTCTCATTCTGGAGTTTGCTCAGTGCATCTAAAACAACTTTTTTTTTTTTTTTTTTTTTGCTGTGGTTTATGGGATACCTACCTTATATACAGAATTATAACAAATGTTTGTCCCTTTACTGAACTAAAACCTATTATTTTCTTTCTTTAGGCAGAGTTAGGAATCATACTTGACTCATTCTTAAACTTTGTTGGCTTAAGTTTATATTTCAGAACCAGCTGTACTGCACAATTGCTTAATTAGAGCATAAACTCTATATAGCAAATAAATGAAAATGGAATCGGGAAAGATACCATTCTAGCACAATGTAGTCTTAAGTTGTCATAAAGTTTCCTACTGTGTGCTAATTCTCCCAAGTAGTTTTAAGATTAACCCATTTCCATCCCATTTGTAGTACATAGTAGGTGCTCCTTTTCACATAAAAATTATTCCTAAAAGTGCCCAATCACTACTTTCTGCATAACAAATGTGGATACAATATTGCAAACCCACAAGAGTAATAATGTAGATTTGCACACATATGGTATCATTAGCAGCTTAGCGACAATCTCTCCCCCATGCCCCAGTAAATACTTTCCTATTATGGGACCCAATAAAAAGACCAGTGAGTAACAGGCTTTAATGAGACAGAGTAGAGTGGCTCACGACTAAAGTTTCCACTGTGCTTAATTTAAAAGGAAATAAAGCAGCAATAGCTCAGTACTCATGTGTCTTAGTAAAAACATTTTTTTTAATTCTATAAGGCTAAAACTCATTTTTGTGCCTTTCGTTAAGACTTAAACTCAAGTGACATATCCTGAGTGGAACTGAGCATGAAGAGGTTGAAAAATAAACCATGTAGAGCAAATGATCATAAAATATCTTCCCTTTGTTATCTATTATAGACTTTTCTACTTTTATGCCTTGTTAATAAAAAGACTTCCAGTCAAGATGGCAGAGTAAGTTAACACTGTGTTGGCCTTCTCCCACTATCCCATCAAAATTACAGCTAAATTATAGGACAACCATCATTGAGAACCACCTGAATTGAATACTAGCTGAACAGAATTCCTATAAGGACATAAAGCAGCAGCCACAGTGAGACTGGTAGGAGGGCTAGAGACACAGAATGGGCAGG